TAGTACTCGCATATTATTCACGAAATATTTTCAGTTGATACAATTACTGTTTTATCTAAACATATTTTGCTTAATTATATAATAACTATTTCGTTAAATATGTACCTTTAAATTAATCCCAAAAAAACGAATAATAAGAGAATATTCCATGTAGAGTAAACGTAGATGAAATATCAACTCTAGAGTAAAATAAACAATTCTCGGGTTTGAAATTCCCTGACAGTCTTTCAAGCCTGACTCAATGTATCGGATAACTCAACCGATCATGTTAGCCCAAAATATGACAATCGTGACTCATGAAGCTCCCTTGTTCGGGAGATCCTGTCATGATTTCGTACATACTTTCGGCTCGTCTCACGGCTTCTCTTAAGTGACAGTGAAGATATTCTTGAAATTTTCCAAAAGCGTTAGCTTCCAAAGATTGGACCCCAAAAAAAAAGTGGCTAATATTGAAGGGTGGATGACTTCTATGGAGCAGGATAGTGAAAAACCGGTGGCCTCTGCAAATGCCGAGCACATATCCATTGAAATACAAGGTTAACTAAATGCAAGGTTGCAAGGGGCCAGGAAAAAAAACTATAGTTTGTTTCTGTATGTATATGTAATAATTCATAGTTGTGGAGTAGTACCAAAATCAATAATCTTCGCCATTGTATAAGAAGTTTTTCGAACAATGTCGATAGGCAACTAAAGGAATGCAGCACACGAATAAGCCATTTCTGATACCATAACATGTTCTCTTTATACAAGAAGCAGCAACTTATATGAGATGAACATGATTCAAGAACCCAAAACAATGCATGTTAAAAAGCAATCTCTAAAGTTTCAGTATAATTAATCATGTAAGTCATAGTCTCGACTGAACATAGTCGTAAAACCATACTCGAAACACTTCAAATATCATGTATTCAACTCAAGACACAATTCAGCAAACAAACAACAAAGCAACTTTTCAAATCATTCATTTTCTCATCCATTTTTTTACCTAAGAAGCTTCAGAAGATGAGCCCTTTGAACTCCGAAAATCCTTCTTCAGCATGGTAACTCTCTTCATACAGTCCGATTTTGTTTTTCCGGGCACAGAGGCTGCAATCTTCTCCCACCTCATTCCCACATCCTTAGGAAATGCCTTTAGTGCATTGAGCAAAGCTAAATCCTCTGCTGAAGTCCATTCACCGCCATTTTGAGTTCCGGTGAGATTTCCAATTCCCTCATCGAGAACACGCTTGTCGACCGGCTTCCGAGCCTTCAGAAACTTCTCGTACGAATCTCGATCGCCGGATTTTCTCGAGCCCGTTTCTTTAGCTTTCGCTATAACAGTCTCCACCTTGTGCTTACCCTTGAAACCCTCGGCTATGGCCTCCCAACGGCCGGGCATGCCCACAGGGTGCTTCGCCATCATTTTCCTCAGCAATTCCTCATCAGTTTCGTCCCAATCGTTTTCTTCATCGTCCTCGCCAGACTTGTTTTCGTCGGGTTTGTCGTGCCGAATTCGACTCTTTTCAGCGGGATCGACACGGATCGCCGTCGATTTCTGCAGATCGGGGGAGGTCTCCGGCGGGGATTTTCGCTGGGATCTGGAAGATTTCCGGCTGATTGGCCTCTCGTCGGACTCGGAGGCGGGAGGAGGGACGTCGGGGATTTCCTCCAGAGGGGGGCCGAGGCCGACGCGGATGTCGCCGGCGGTGAGGCGGGGAGGGGCGAAGGGGCCGAGGAGGAGGGAGAGGGAGACCCATAGGAGTAGGGATTTGTAGGGCTCGAAGTTGAGGCGCAGGAGAAGGAGGGTGAAGGCGGCGGCGGAGACGGCGAGGGAGACCGCGATGGTCGGCCGGTGGAGGGAGGCGAGGAATGAGGAGGGTGAAGGGGAGGAATTGTGGACGGATTCGGGTCGGGCTGGGTGCTTGGATTGGAGGAGGAATCTGGGCCGGGTCTCGAATTCGTCCAAGAACTCCATTGTTACTCTTCTTCGAGCTTCTGAACAGAGAGGGAGAGAGAGAGACGGCGGCCAGTTAAGGCAGAAATATAGTATACGCTTTTAATTGCACATCTCCAAACTCAACAGGTGGAGAGGAGTACTCATTTCTAGTGGTCAAAGGGTATTGTGGTCCTTCGAATATTTTGGTAGCATTACCAATGAAAATTGAAATTGCCAAAAATTAATTTCTTATTGTCATGCATAAAAATAAGAAAAATAATATTTTTTATATCATTTTTATACCTTTTATAAATTTAATAATATATTGTAAGTATCTAATCATAAATATTTACTACATAAACATATGTATATATGAGTTTATTTTTAAAAATAAATATTTTGAAAAACACAAAACCAATAAAGTATATAATATTCATCTCAATGTCGGGACATCTGATTTGAAGCAAAGTCGATTGGGTTTGATTAGGTCTTAAAATTGGTCCGATGACGCACCTACCTCCTAATCGACCACCAAGCCAAATTAGGATTAACAACAAAATTTATGCAAGTGTGACACTCAGACCGGCTTAAGACCGCTTCTTTCTTGATCTTCTCGCCAGTAGAACGTAGGAATCTACACAAAATTGCATAAATGTAAAATATTGCATTATTAAAAAAGGTGAAAAATAAAAAATTCAAATAGCTATTTAAGATTGATGAAAATTAACAAATGAACTACAATAAAATGATGATTGGTCCATCACTTTGAGGGAAAAATGAGTGACTGAAGTTTGAGAATGTAAATTAATTTGATATTAAGGTAATTATTGTATATAATAATAACAATCTATATCTAAACACAAATGAGAGTTTATTGAGTCTTTCTGTCATATTTTGATGCAAATTCATGGAGCTGTCAATTTGGCCCGTGGCCCGCAGGCCATCCCGCCCCGCAAAAGAGACGGGTTGGGTCCGCATTTTGTAGGCCCGCCCCGTCAATTGGCGAGCTACAGGTCGGCCGCTCAGTCGGCTCGTTTTGACAATTCTACTAATTAATGTAGATTATGAACTTTTAAATTTTATAAAATTGTATAACTTAAGCTATTAATATATTTAAATTTTTTTTATATATAATATATCAAATCAATTTTTTTTATTGGAACTTCCATTTGGCATCCGTACTACATTACAAAATAAATAATTACATCTATAATTATATTTTAAACTAAGTTATCTATTAATATAATAAAAAATCATAAAATAAGTTATGAATGAAATAATTTTATTTATAAAATTATTATATGACATGAGTTTTGGAAAACTTATTACTGTAAGATGTGTAAGTCGATGGTTGTTGTTTTGAATAAAAATAATCATAATATAAACAAAGAATTTATCTTTCTCTCTCTTTTTTTAATAAATTTATATACAAACTTTTTGACCAACATTGTGTATACTAGGGTGTTATATTAGTTATTATTATATAAATTAATGAATCTTAAATTTGTAAAAAAAAAAACATGTTACTTTAAGAACTAAGAACTAGCGATGCACGAGATAGTTTTATTAAGGTAAGCATTTAAATTTGGATGATTGGAATAACGTATAACACAATTGGAATAAAACAAAATGTAACTTATATATTATTAAACACATCATTGTACACAACATTATTTGTTTGGTCTTTTGGTACATCGTCTATTGCATTGCATAGGCAAATATAATAGAGATTGTAAAACGTCTTTCTTGATAATCTATAACCTTATTATTTTAAAATTGTAAATTACTTAATTTAAAAATTATGTTTAAAAATAATTTGAACTAAATAAAGTAGTAGCCAAATGATAAGGATTTTTTTTAATTTTTTTCAATTTGAAATTTTGTCCTATTTCTATATAATCTCTTTTTTTTTTAAAAAAAAAAACATGATTTGTTGCAATTAGGTAAAGATACATATAGAATTTTTCCTAATTCAAAATTCTCGATTTTACGGTAAACAATTTTTTTTTTTTTAATAAAAAATGATAGAATTTTGACTTTTACAAACTTGTCATTTCAAATTATACCCCAGTTAACCCGAATTATTTGCAATTCGGTTTATAAATAATTGATGTGTTGCAATTAAGAAAAAATATATATGATTGCATTTTGCCTAATTCAAAATTATTGATTTTATGGTAATCGATTTTTTTTAACAAAAAATGAGAAATAATTTTGACATTTGCAAAATTGTATCAGTCAAAATTTACCTAAATTAAACCCACAAGACCCATGAATTTAGGATGCATATATAACATATTGATTTTTTGAAAATAATTTAAAAATTAAATTAAAAAACTGTCAAAAATAAAATATAATAAATGTTGGTTGACTCTTTTGTTATTATTTTTGGTAAATAAATTTTCACTATATATCTATATAAGATAATATTCACATTTTATTTAACCCAACAATATATTGAGTCCTCCAAAATACTTCATAATCAGTTCAAAGTTAAATAAATACTTGATATGTGAAACGAATTATGTGGACACTTGAATTAAATAAAT